ATCATATCAATAAGAATTTGAATTTATTTATAAAAATGCAAAGATCATATCAATAATGATTTGAATTTATTTATAAAAATGTAAAGATCATATCAATAATGATTTAAATTTATTTATAAAAATGTAAAGATCATATCAATAATAATTTGAATTTATCTATAAAAATGTAAAGATCATATCAATAATGATTTATCAATCTTACCGATACGCTGATAATTTCATTATCATTTGGATGCCAACTACAATCATGTATTTCTTTGCTGCATTTTCGAAATGCTCGAGTAATTTTACCCGACATAATATCAAAAACTAAATTAATAAAAAAAATTATTAACACTATTAGAACATTTAATTAGTATAAAACATAAATTACTTAAATTAATTAATTAATAGATAAATATGCACTTTACCCTATATTATATTAAACGTAACTTTACCTAACATAATATCAAAAGTTAAATTAAAAAAGAAAAGTGTTAATACTATTGGAATAGTTAATTAGTATAAAAACAATTTATTTAAATTAATTAATTAATTAATTAATAGATAAATATATATATATTTTCTATAACTTACTATACACATATCCATGATCGCTACCACAATAAACATATCGATGTCCGGTTCTTTCTGGTGAAATTTTAGCACGCCAAAAAACTTCCAACATATTTGGTCCTTTTATTCTTAGTGCTAATAAAATATTTTCCTTTTTTAGTTTAATTAATTAATCAATTATTAAAACTAATATAAAATCGTTTTATTGTATGATTTAAAAAGTGTATAATGGAATAATTACATCTTTACAATGTATCATTTATTTTATTTAGTTATTAAATTAAATACTTTATTGTTTCATAAATTAAATTAAATATCGCATTGTTTTATGAAATTAATTTATTATTAAATTAAATATTACGTTGTTTTATTGTATGATTTAAGAAATGTATAATGGAATAACTATAACTTTGTAACGTGTCATTTCTTTTATTTAGTTCATTAAATTAAATATTTTATTGTTTCATAATTAATTATTATTAAATTAAATATTACATTGTTTTATAAATTAGACTATTATTAAAATAAATGTTATATTGTTTTATAAATTAAACCATTATTGAATTGAATATTATGTTTTTTCATAAATAAAATTATTATTAAATTAAATATTATATTCTTTCATTAATAAAATTTCCATCAAATTAATACTATATTACTCTACTAATTAAATTATTATTAAGTTAATATTAAATCGAATTATTTTAACGTATCCAATCAATTAATTTGATTTTAAAATTGTTTGATATTTGTATGAAGAAAATAAATTTACACTTCATGACCTGTGTCAAAACGTTCTATTATTCCGGATTTATCCATTTCCACTTGTTGTATATTAAATGGAAGATTCTGGAAATGAATTATTCTGTATGAATGCTTAATGAATCAAATGAGAAAACAAAAACAAATCTTTCAGTTGTTAACTTTTAGATATTTAGTATTATATTATATAATTGTCATCATCAATATTTAGTATTATATATAATTGTCATCATCAATATTTTTTTTTTTATATTATATAATTGTCATCATCAATATTTTTTTTTTATATTATATAATTGTCATCATCAATATTTAGTATCACATTATATAATTGTCACCATCAATTATTATATTGCATTATTAATTATCAAATGCAATAAATTTATTTCATCTTAGAATGTATATCGTTAATTATATATGATATGTTGTAATGAACCTCAGAAAATCGGCGTAAATCCCAAATAGCAATTGTTCCACCGATAGAAGTTGTCACGATATATTTATCATAACTGTCACCATCGATATAACTTATACTATATTCATTACCAGCGGATATTGCAATTGGAATATTATCATTAAGTGCACGATCATCCCATAGCTAAAAACATGATAATTTAGGAATTGACAATAAGTTTATCAGTAATTATTGATAAATAAAAGTTTAAGTTTGATAAAAAAATCATTCAACTTGAATTTTACCCATCTTTAAACTTTTGACTTTAACACTTTTATACTTATGTATTAAATTGTTAAATTGTCACTTCATTGTCATTTGCTTCATTTGTGACATTGTGAGTGATAATAAAATGATAATTTAGTGATTTTCCTTTTTTTTATTCTCATTTTTTCATCAAATTCGCTTTTTTTTTTTTTTACAGATCTCATACTTTATGATATAAAAGATTTGTGCGGATACTGTAAAAGTTATTTCAACCATTAACTTCTTGCAACAATACACATTCATCATCTAATCCTACTTGTGTCATTCATAATGTCATGCATAATGCATAATTTGCATAATACCTTTTATAACTTTAGCATGATTGTATGCAAATATATATATTAATTGAATATTTAGTAAAAAAAAAAAAGAATTTATTTACTTTACAACATCCATCGATACCTCCACTACAAAAAAGATGTGGATTAGCTTTCGAACAATAAATTGCTTTAATATCACTTTGATGGGCACAAAACTGTAAAAGAAAAAAAAAGAAACAAAGAAAATTCCCTTTTTAAATTTTAATTTTCACATTATTCATTTATAAATTTTCAATTGTAATTAGCATTACAGCAAATTTAGCCAATTCCTTTTTTTTTTTAAATTAATTTTTTTGAAATTTTCAAATATTTGCATAATATTTTGTTAATATCATGTAATTACGATCAATTATCATTTCATAATGAAAATAATAATGCTAAAATTTTTGTGAGAAATTTAATTAAACAAATAAAAAAAAAATTTTCACTGAATCATGAGATGATTGTTCGATATCAATGATTGTTACATAACCACCTGCTCCGCCAACTATCATATGCTCATCATCTAATGTATACCGTATACTAAAATATGCTTCCCTGAAATTTTCCTTTTTTTTCATTTAAAAATTTTATATTTAAGAAATATTTAATTTAATGTTTTTTTTTTTGATTTATAAGAATGAAAAGAATTATCATAATTGTTATAAAAAAAAATTAATCTAAAATTTTAATAAATTAAATAATTTCTTTAAAAAAAAAAAAAGAAATAGCATCAGATCAATTTACCATCCTTCAATTGGCGGTAATGGCCTTGTATGAAATATTTGCCAATTTGAATTATCGTCAATTTGATCTATGTAACTGTGATAAACTAAAATTTTATTAATTTATTATTTCAATAAAATTAATAAAACATATACTTATTGAATTCTGTAATTTTTTATTTAGGGAATTTTTTTACGAATTTTATGAATGAATTTTTATAAAATTTTATAAATGAATTTTTATGAATGAATTTTTTTCTGAATGAATAAATAAATAAGTAAATAAACAAATAAACAAATAAATAAATAAATAAGTAAATGAATGAATGGATGAACGAATGAATGAAATGAATGAATGAATAAAATGAAATGAATGAGTGAACGAATGAAATGAAATTAATGAATGAATGAATGAATGAAATGAAATGAAATGAACGAA